AATATCAACTAATATATTAATAAAAAAGTAATTAATAAAATATTATTAAAATACATATATAATGTTATATAAGGTTAGTAATATTTTTTTTATTAACAAAAAAATTTTTATTAAAAAGATATAAAGAGTACCTTAATTTTGTTTATAAAATTATTATAAAATAAAAACTAAAGTTTAATATTGAAGTAAGATAGTCATATCTAAAAATCCTTCTGCTAGCATGATTCCTTTCCATACCATCATGCAAGAAAAAATTCTCATTTTTGAAATAAGTTTGTTTAATCATATCAAAGGTATGTGCAGATGAAAATGTTTTGTATGAACTTCAGCACACTTGCTCAGACACAAACAAAGAGAAAAGAACAATATATTTTTACTTAATAAAAATAAAAAGGAAAATAAATAAGAAAAATATATATTTTTTTTCAATTCAGTTACATGTATACATAAATATAAGTTAATGAATTTTTTTTTAATATGAATTTAGGAAAATGAGTAATATAATTGAATTGAATTAAATTAAATTAAATTGATTAATTGAATTTAAGAAAAAATATAATGTAATGGTATAATGGATATCATTATATTAAAAAGTTATGACATTAGTTATTGAGGGTATAGTAATAACTTACTTCTATTTTTAAATTTGATATAGTGTGAAAGGAAGTATTTTAGAACTGATTTTATCCAGTTTTGGTCCAGTTCAAGGGTTTGAAAGATAAAAATTATATAGTTTATAAGTGTGAACATATGTGAACACAATATGAACACACAAGGATCTTTTCGGTTTTGCTTTAATATATCTTTAGATTTCAAGTTTTAAGTTATAATTTATATTTTATTAAGGGAATTTTGTAATATGTTCACTTAATATATAGATTAAAAGCATATATATTTATTATATATTTTTATTACTAATTTATATAAAAAAAATAAAAATTGATTTAATTATAATTAATTATTTAATTAAGTTGTTTTACATGATGTTAATATTAAAAATATATTTTATTTTTATAATTTTTTATATAAATTAATAATAAAAAATATAATAAATGCATTCCTAATATGTCCAATAATACCTCAATTTAGAAAAAAAAATCTTTATTAAATTAACTAATGCTAGAGATATGTTTATGGGACATTTTTTTAAAATCAATAATACATTTTAATTAATTAATTAATATTGCATTATTAACTTAAATGGTAAATGTTAAACATTAATTAATTAACTCATGTTTAACCCCAAAAAAATTAATTAAGTCATCTTCTTCCTGATGAACCTGCAAAAATCACCACAATAACAGCCTCTTCCTCCGCTATTCCTCGCCATTGGCCACCTTTGTCTCCGCCTCAACGACTTCCCTCAACATCTCCGTTATTCCTTTCCTTCCCTACCTCCTTCCTCTCATTTTTGTTGGTTTTGAGCATCAAATGGGTATAAACTCCATTTGGGTTAATTAATTTAATAATACAACATAATTATAAATTTATTTGGTATTACAATTATATCATTACTATTTTCCTTCTAATTCTAAATATTTTTTTTGTCGTGGATTCGGTCCGGCCCTTGAACCTGGACCCAAGTTGAGTACATTACGTAACATCACTGTATGGTGTACTTGCATCCGAGTTTTCTTTCTTCTTCTTCTTTTTTAAGTTACATAATTAGAGATAATTCCTTTTATATATCTTAATTTACTTTACTCTCATATTATATAACTTAAATTTAAAATCTTATTTCATCTTAGTCTTGTTTGCACAAAATAAATACCATCTCAACAAGTCTGTAATGCTAAGAATTTGGAAGAAAATGAAGGTATCTTTACCTTGAGCTTGGGCCTAAAGGTCCCAATATTCTTTCGGCAATGGGCCTTACAAGTTTTCATTGCCATAGTGGACTTGGTGTAGCAATGGAGAGCAGAGTCGTGAGACTTATTTTTGGTCGCTTTCTTTCCCCCATTTGAAGAACTGTACAGGGCAGAAGAGAGTTCAAAAATCAGAAAACATATAAAGATTAGGATTAATTTGACAGAGAAGCCCCCAACACAAAACTAAATAAAATTTAACCAAGCCAATACCTACTACCTTGATTAGTAAGTGACTAGCAATGGTTTCCATAAAATATTTATAAGGATGATAGCTTCATATGTAGATAAGAGCATACCTAGATCCTCGTTTGTGACTTTGTTTTTCATTGATCTCATTCTT